CTCTCGCTTTCCATAGGTTCGATCGAGAGTTACAAAGCCTGTAACTCGCTATTCCACAACACTCCCATTTATACAATGACTGCTAAAGATTGTACAATATATCCTAAACATGAATGAAAAAGTTCATTGAGTTTGGTAAATTTAAAATTAAAAGATTATATGTGGAAGTGATAATGTAACTGTAGAGGTTTATTGCTGTAAAACTGTAAATTGAAAATGGGATAAAATAGGATTCTTTACATAGAAGTGATTATCAATATTGAGCGCTGGTTGTTGAGTTAGTATTTTGTAAAATGAATCTTTAAATGCCCTTTCTGTCAATGTCCTACTATTTGATTGGCAATTGCACGATTTACGGTAACTCATCCAACAGTTAATCGCTGATTTCAATGAGAACAGTCCTCTTTGGGGATCAAAGCACAAAGACACTTATCTGCTCCATCTAGTTCATTTTCTGTACTGACTCTGCTCTAAGTCATGCTGTGTAAAAGAGGTATATCTAAAAGATCGTCGCTGATTCCTCATCACAACGCCGTACTCTATTGATATTTAGACGTTACCCGGTCGTTGTGTGGTTTCTAACGCTACGTTAATAAAAAAATATTAAATCGCATCCAAATAAATTAATTAATTAAACTAATCTTTTATAAAACTTTATATTAAAAATTGTTAATGTTAAAGGGTATTATTTTTTGCTAGATGGTGATTGAACAAGATTTACAGACAACATTAAAGCAAGGGTTCGCAACGGGGTAGTTATGGGCTTTCTGGGAGTAAATGTAGTTGTAAAAGCATAAAGGGACAATGATTATCAAGGGGTCAATTGGGAGTTGATAGCCAAATATGTATATACTAGAAAAGTTCACATAGTTTTTAGTCAAAATACATAGTTATGACGTTCACATATTTTATCCATTTCGAATTTCGAGTATCATCCCAATTCAATTGAGATCTATAGCCCAATTAAATAATTAATCTGTATAAATGGCGTATTGTAGCCAACTCGGTGTGTATCGTTAGATGGATGAACCTGCGCAAACATATTTTATTGTTTAGAAAATATTAAATATTACTGCAGCTCGTTATGATGGTTGGAAAAATATCGTGGCTTTTCAGCTTATCTCAAATATAAATTAACTAACGTTAAGATTGTTTACAATTTCTTTGCACAAACAACAATGAAACCTTCATAATTACTAATAGCTTTCAAGGCATGCGATAATATTTTTAATTTCAGCAGATTATGTGAGAAACAATTTTTGCTTTCTCTTCTCAAGAGAAGTAGAGTATTAGACAGGTTCCCCCAAGAGATTAGGGTCGAGAAGTACAATAAGGGATAGTCCCGCCTTAATCTTTAATTCAGTAGACGTCAGATACGATCTGTGGTGCCACGCTACATGGCTTCGAAGATACCATCCGAAAACGGGATTCTCAAATGGAACCTTGGGCAGGCAGATGGAAACGTCTTCCACCTAACAGAAGATAGAGTCAAGTGGCGTCGGCGGTACGACAGAAAGAGTAATGGGTAATTGTCTCTAATGAGGAGATATTGTAGAGAAGAAGATTAAAGCATTAAAAGAGAAGAACAAACTCGTATTTTATCCCCTTAAGTGGTGTGACCGATCAATTCGAGGAATTAATAATTCACGGTGCGACAGATGGCAAGTACTTGGTAATCTGATTTGGAATAGTCAAATATTCACTGGGGAGTAGAGGAGTAATCGATCTACATAAAGTAACATTACATGGCACACAAGGTACTCAACAATGTAACATTAATATTAACGAAGTGAAATATGGTAGGAAACAGGTTCCAATTAGGTGCAACCTGTTAAAATCATTGACATGAAATAATCAGAAAATGAAGTTTTAATTTAATATCCTTTACTTCAATCGACTGAATAGATTCAATGATTTCGCTTCCTTACCTTTCATGTAATGTTTGGAAACTTATTAGAGAATTTGAGAAGATGGCAACCTCACTTAGATTATTATTATTATCGATTTTGCATTTTAACCTTTTAGATGATTGGAATCCAAAGGTGTCTCTAAATATTTCGCTGGAATGAATAGTAATAGTGTAATTGCATAGAATAATGCAAAGGGGGTTTGAATAATTTAAGCTTAATTAGTACAGTTTTAACGTCGCGATTAAATTAGCCGCGTAATTATTTGAACTTTCGTAAATGACTAACGCCGCATGCCTAAATGTGCACGTGAAAATTACACCCCGCGATATAAACGGGTATTAATTAAAAGGAGGGGTACATTTATTGCGTTATACGTAACCAGACGAAATGAAACTTGTCCCATATTTTTCGACGAATTGCCTATTCATCAACCACAACAATTTTCAAACGAGGCCGAAAATAAATTTTGTATAAACTAGATGCGGGGTAATAAATTTCGATATGAAGTATTTTATTTATGAAAGAGTTACAAATAAAGGACAAAATTGAATACAATTGGACAATCGTTGAAATTCACAAAAGCGAAAATAAATGTCACAAAAACACAGCTGACTGGTTAACACTTTAAAGAGAAAATTATTTTACAATTTTATTTTAAAACAGATACCTATAATATTAATTGTAAAACGCCGAAATAAACAATATCTACCTATCCCCGCAGGCTGGAGAATTGTATCGTAAATAACATTTTAACCAGTACTCTTTCATTATGTAACTACCTATTTCCAATAATATTTAATTAAAAAACATGATTATTAATTTCGCAAATTTATATTAAAAAAAAACAAACACTATTTCGCAAATTCATATAAATAGGTACATAGGTGTATCATTAAACATTGTGATTTTATTTATGTCATACACGAGCGAATAAACAAGATTCAAAAATGGAAAACGCGATGGACGTTCCAAAATTTATTGGGTAATATAAAACACAGCAGCACTGTAAAATTAAAAATCAATAACAATGAAAATATGAATGATGAAAATATATGGACAAAGAAATGACATTTCGTGTACCTATTTAAAACGTTTATCATTTAGTTTGTGACATTAATAAAATTAAATTTGAAAACGACTGAGAGTTTCGGTTATTTATCGTCATAGTTGACAAATTGTTAATGTCGCTATTTTAATAATAATTTAAAATTTATGATCCAGGTTTGCAGAATATCTCAAAACTAAATTTTAAAACACAAAAATTCGCCTGCAACTGCAAAAAACTTTTTCCAGCAGCAAATGTCTGCAACACAAGATTAAACAATTGTAGTTGTCGCGACTATCTATGATGTTACTTTAAATAGAAATATTAATCGAAATGTAAATCTTGTACCAAAGACCATTTCAAATGTATTACAACGAAACAATAGATTAACTTCCATTACTCTCTTTTAAGATGAAGCTAAAATTGTTAGACGTTCCAGAAAAGGTTATTATTTATACTTGTACTAGAATTATTTAATTTTGTAATCTACCTCACCAAAAATAATGAATTACTAGAGCAGTATAGAATATTGTTCTTGAATGCTGCGTCTATTCCAAAAATTCCATTTATCTTGTAAACCTAATCAAGCACTTTTTTGAGATCAACGATTTACTATATTTACAAAAAGCATTCAACAATCTTTAACTCGAAATGTTGTAACTCCCAATGTCAAAGTCATTGACTTGGCTATGGCCAGAAGATAACAGCTTTTAGGACAATCAGATCAGAAGAAGTACTTAATTCGACATAAGGGATGACTAACTGATTAATCAAATACAAATTATAAACGACATATTTGTAGAATATTTTCTGCAGGATCTAGCGAGAAATGGCAATAAAGTTAGGTGGAAAAGAAATTAAAGGGTATTTTCGTAGACCAAAACAGTTACTGATCTTACTGATGCTAGTGGGGAAATGAGATTATTACGTGAGAGTAGTTTTAAATTCAAGCATTGTTGGATCTGGTTTATATTGCGTATGGCTGTATCATGCAAGTCTGTAAGGAATGAGATTAGAAATGGTATGTGTCCTGCACTGTAAAATTAAAAATCAATAGCAATGAAAATATGAATTGTGAAAATATATGGACAAAAAAATGACATTTCGTGTACCTATTTAAAACGTTAGTCATTTAGTTTGTGATATTAATGAAATTAAATTTGAAAACGACTAGAGTATTGGTTATTTATCGTCATAGTTGACAAATTGTTAATGTCGCTATTTTAATAATAATTTAAAATTTATGATCCAGGTTTGCACAGGTTTTCAGAATATATCAAACCTGAATTTTAAAACACAAAAAGTCGTCTGCAACTGCAAAAAACTTTTTCCAGCAGTAGGAATGTAATTTCCATAATCCAATTTAATGTTTTATTTATTTTTTCTTTTAAAAATCCTTTCACATCTCGCCCATCGTCGGCAACTCTTAACAACTTATGCAAATTAACTTTGATTACATCTAAAATTATACCCAATTACCATGTTAAACTAAATATTTCACTTCAAAAAAATAAATGAGATAAAAAATCATAAAAAAGCGCTGCTTTAACATCAAAATGCGATATTTTAAGTAATTAAATTAGCCGTGTATCACAAATAACTTAATTCGTATTTTCGGATTCGATTTAATTAGCGTGTAAAATTCATTTTTAATATTATTTCCAATTAAAGCGATCGTACAAAAATGATTCATCGCATATATATAAATATCGGACATGTAGTTTTATATGGATTTTAATCGTTAATAACATTTCGCTTTTATAGTTATAAAATAAAGGTTATCACAACAAAACCGTTTAATTTAAACACACCATAAATTGGAAAAAAATTAAATTTAAATTAAAACTTTTCAATCTTACTTAAGATATAAATGTAAAGTAGATTCCTGTACGAAGACGCTCGTAAAATAAATTATGAGAATAGTTGAGCAACAGTTCGAGCAAAACTGTAATGAAACCGGAGTCCGGTAAGGAATTAACGATGCACTGGGCATTAAACCCGAATAACTTCATTTAACTTCTAGCTATCCTTACGGAAAAACTTACCATAACTATCCCTATAGGGCTGAGAAAACAAGAACTTAGACTCCGGACACGTTTACCGTCCGAGTTCGAAAAACTTAATAATATCGGAACAGGACGTTTTAAAAACCCAGAATCGAAAGCTTTCGCGAGATCACTTGCGCCTGATACCGACGCAAGTTCGAACTTGAACGTTTCGCGTGTCCGAACCCACTGTGGAAAGAGCGCGCACGTGTTGACTGCCGAAGGAGCGGGCGCAAACTGCGATGTAGGCGCTCACAGAATTGACGCGGACTTCTCGATCGATTTTCATCGCAATTTTAACACACAAAGAATAAAAAAAAGAAATTATTTCCACCCTTTTTGAACCAAGTCCAAAAAATGACCGCAAAAGACCTACAAAAATAAATCAGGAATAAGTTTAATAAAGAAATCATAGCGGTAATAAAATTCGATCTCAATTTAAGAAAGTTTTAAAATCCACTCCGGGAAAAAGAATTAAGGATGCGAGACGAATTGGAGAAATGAATGGAAAAAAAAGTCTTGCGGCAGGTCGTGAAACTCAACTAACCTTTCCAAGCGCCCGTGGCCCCCCAAACTGGAAGTAGAAATCGTACAACTTGACATAAAGAGAACGAGAGCTTCCATTACACAAAAGTTATGGAGGTCATCAAAACCATCAAAAATATTTAAACTTTCCAGTAAATAAAATCACTAATGGATCACAATTATCCTTACTCCAAAAAAAACTTCCTCAAACATACTGAATCACTGTATTGATTATAACACTTTGGCAACATTCCAATAACAATAGGAACGTCACGGCGAGTGTCGTGATGCTACACGCTCCATTAGGAAAACGTTTCCATTTGATGAGTTGCATCGTGGACCATTATCAGGAATGAGTTTCAGAAGTATTGACATTTGAAAGATTGACGAGAATCGCGGCGATGCCGATGTGTTGGCAAGATACGTCAGAAGAAGACAACTCTTGGGTATAAGTTTTAGGTTGGGAAAAACGGAAATTAATGCGCTCATTTGCTGGCTGGAGGCCAAAGGACAAAAGTTGCGCAACATGACACAAGGTTAAAGGGTGATACGTTGCCCCAATTAAAATTGCATTAACGTTTCGAAATATCGCACCGCAGAAATAGTAATTAAAAACAACTATACAGAAAACACAATTTTTTAAACTTTTCTTTCAAAAAGATAAAATCGTAAAATGGATAACATCAACATTAACTTTAATACATATTGTAAAGAAAAAAAGTTAATGGACAAAGTTAAAAGCATTTTAAATAAGAAATGTCACAAATGTGGTCATCGCTTAACGTTTTAATTCCCCTCCAAGGTCTTTAAATCGCACGATGCTTATAACGCCGAATTGAATTAATTTACTTGTGTGCCGTATATATGAATTGTACAACAGAAACAAAACACTTTAATACGAATTGAACGAATTTCTATTAAACTGCATTTGACATTTAGATTGAGATTCTAACACAAGATCAAACAACTGCAGTTGTCGCGACAATCTATGATGTCGCTTTAAATAGAAATAGTAATCGAAATGTAAACCTTGTACCAAAGACAATCTCAAATGTATTACAACGAAACAATGGATTAACTTCCATTATTCTCTATAAAGATGAAGATAACATTGTTAGACGTTCCAGAAAAGGTTATATGTACTTGTACTAGAATTATTTAATTTTGTAATCTATCTCACTAAAAATAATGAATTAAAAGAGCTGTATAGAATATTGCTGTTGGATACTGCGTCTATTCCATCATTTTCAATCAAGCATTTTTATGAGATCAACGATTTTCGATATTTACAAAAACCATTCAACAATCTTTAACTCGAAATGATGCAAGTCCCAATGTCAAAGTCATTGATATCTCCCAATTAGGTGAACATTCCAAGAATTGATTTATTGATAGTTTTCGTGCACCATGCGATGTCGAAGGAATTCATCATAGCTTTTTACCAGTGGCTATAAATAGAATAACTTATTTTCAAAGTTTTTAAGATTTGACGATAACACCAAGAAAGGAGAAAGAAATGTAAATAGCACAATGGACTAAATAAAAGGAATTTAGGAAGAATTTGTTAAAAATTGTTGAATTGTGTACATCTCCATCAATTAAAGATTTATTTGACAACACATGACATCAAAGCCATGCAGATATAGTAGCATCTAATATAAAAACAAGTCATTAAAACCAATCTTTTTGAAGTTACACTGTTGTGTAACTGTGCTTGAGTGACTGGATATGATACATATCCTGACCAACAACTTATTGTCCTGGGTAATGTATTAGTCTAAACAATATGGGATATATATAATGTATGGATACTACAAGTGATAAACTGAGTATGTTATATTAAAAGGGTTTTAATCCTATTAATATATTGAACTGAAACTTTGAAATTTAGAGATTGATCTGTAATTCTCGTCACTTGGTGTTAAGCCTCGCTAATGTAAATGTTAAAGCGTTGTTCAGAACACAGAAATTGAATTAAAACGGTGAAGTGCAATAATAGATAGGGAGACGTTTTACTATAATGAGGTTAATTGGGATGAATCAAAGTTTGACGCCAGACTAAATATAGAACTGCACCAAGATAGAAATTTCAATTTATTCTAAATAATGTTTCAGAGCGACTGATCGATATATGATACCCAACGTGATTATTTTCAAGAAAGAGAATAGATCCGCAACTTACCTTAAATTGTGCGCCTAGATATTGGGGATATATTTTCCCCACACATATTACTCGCCATCTGTAGGTCGATAACGGTGCTTACCTGAAATCGTGACACTCGTTTTATATTCACCAAATCATATAAGCGTTCTACTTTATATATTTTTGAAACCACTCGTTTAGCCAGAAATTTTATACCAATTCTATACCACCAGCTATGATTGCAGAATCGTGTTCTGAACTTTTACTAAATACCTTTACTGCAATCACAAACATAGCTGTTTACTGAAAACTTCTTCACAACAAACTTCACTTTTGACGGTTGGCGAGTACCGAAATAACACACTTTTCAGAAACACTAAAAGTTTCTGGCGTGATCGGGTAACAAAGAAACACTATTTCTTCTCCAAAAAATAAAAGAGACAGAATAAGGAAAACGAAATAAAAGTTAAAATATGTGAATGAAGGGGAAAAGGCAGCGTTACTAATGTACTTATATTAATAATATAAACATCCTTGTTTGTATTGCAGCGTTCTCCATGCGGATCCAATGGAAGACTGTGCTAGTTGTGACAAATGAGCTTACTGAGACAAGACCCTTTTAGACTGAGTAGAAAGCGTATTTTCTTTGGATATTAATAAGGGTTTTATTGCATGTTAACAATTTTTACGCCAATAGAAAACTCCTAAACACCTCTACTTATCTCCTGCCTTCACCTCCCTCTGCCCAAATTTGCCTCCAGTCCATAGCATACTCCCTCAACTCGCTGCATATCTTCAACATGTGGTCCAACGTTTCCATTTCCTCCCTGTACAGCCTACATCACCTTTCGTCCTCATCCACCCCATACTTGTTTCCCCTTTCCTCGTTCTCACAGCGCAATCTGGCCACCAATGATTTCCCTTCGTCGTCCTCTTCCATCAACATATACTTTAGCAGTTCTTCTGTCACTCTCTCCCCATACCTTTCATTATGTCTTCCTTCTCTCCTGCCTATATATGTCTCTGTCTCTATCCCTCAGTTCTCTCCACATTTCACCTCTCTCTACACTTCTGTTGTCGATCCCAGTTAGTCTGCTTGTCCAGGAGGTTGATATCCTCTCCTTAATTTCCCTCCAGCACTCCCCCACGATTCTACAATGCGGTCTTCCTTCAATCCTTTCCTCGTACTTGACTGCTCTTCTCCCAGCTTTCACTATATACCCTGGAGTCTCTCTCGCCATCCCTATTAAACATCTCCAATACCTTGTTTGTACATCCCCCAGCAATCCCTATTTCTTTCCATCCCCATACTTCTGCGCCATACATCTTTGCGCTCCTCACCAAGCCCTCAAACATAACCTTTCTTTTTCCCACATCCCTCCCAAAAGTTCTCTCTTTTCGCCATAGTCCTCACGTGCAACCCAACCTTATTACTCTCCGAGAACCAATATCTTAAGTACGTGTACTCTTTCATATCCTCTACATCTCTCTTCCCTGCCACATCCATTCTTCCTTCTTTCTTATATACCCACCAAATGTTTATGTTTTACTAGAGAATCTTAACGAATCACAACGTCCTTGATATAAAATTAGCAAAATGGCGTCTAAATAATATTCAAAATATAAGTTATGACTCGATGAGTACAAAAAATATTCCAGAACTAGAAATAAAACAGAGAAAGTAAATACTATAAGAAGAAAATAATACTGAAATGCGAATAAACTTCTGAAAAAAGTAACACTTAAATTTCTGGATAAGGAAACTGCGATAAAATATAAAGAGAATTTTACTTCTAGAAGATAAGAATCTAGCTCTTGAAAACAATACTAATATAAAGAAATATTACTATTAAGTGACATACCGAGTGAACTAATAGAAAATTTAACTGAGTTTTCAGTACAGATTTAATGAAATCGTAATGGAAGTCGAGCGAGAGTAGCGATGTTGAAAACAACAACAAAAAATGATAAAAAATGTAGAAACGAAAGGCTTTTCGCTTGGAAAGCATGGCCGAATATTAGAGTGCAGCGAGAAAAGATAATGAGATTGATGTAGTAAGAAAAAGGTTGTTGAAAGCTGTGTATTGAAAACGAATGTTTGAAAATACAAACTCAATTTGTTCCGTTACATACTATAGAATGTGGATCGAAATGATGATTTAATTAAGGCGATATGATTCTGTGGTTATCAATAATCATATAACATCATATTACATTTGAAAACTGTCTTCGTATTGATATAAATGAGGCTTTCATTTGGGTAAAAGAATAATATATAACCCGGCACCTCCACCAAACAAACCATTTTTTTAAAGTTTATATAACCAAAGTAAATGCATCGTTAAAAACAAAGGTAACCTACAATAGTATTTTTTATTCCACTTGGGGCTATTTCAACTGTATAATTTTCTAATTAACTTCCATTGTGAGGTTATTTGCCTCGGCATAATAAATCAAAAGGTTTAAGGCTTAGATTTATCTGAATTGCACCTAGTATTTTCATTTTAATCAAAACGCTTTGTGCTTGGGTTGAGTTTACAAAAAAAGCTG